CTGCTTCTCCCTCTGCCTCTGCCTCTCTCTCTCTATCTCTCATGAATAAATAAATAAAATCTTTAAAAAAAAAAAAAAACAAAACCTTAATATAGAAACAAGATATTATGAAGAGAGGTAAGAAATTTATGATACTTCCAAAAAAGATAGTAAGGCTTACAAGAGCAGAAAAGCTATAACTTAAAATAGGTTTAGTGGTTGTCAATATAAGATTTCTGAGAATGCATTGTGCCTCCCACCATGGGAAAACTGGTACCGAATACTGTGAGTTTTTAATTTTGTAAGTATAGAAGAAAGCACCTTCACAGATTCACCTACATTGCTATATGCAGGCAGGGTTGTTTATTTAATACACTTTATTTTTTAGAGTAGTTTTAGGGTTACAGAAAAATTGAGCAGAAAGTAGAGTTCCTATATACCCCTTCACTTCTAAGTTCCGTTATTCCTATCTTGCATTAGTGTGGTACGTTTGTTACAACTGATGAGCTAATACTGATACATTATGACTAACTAAAGTCCACAGTTTACCTTAGGGTTTACCCTTTGTGTTTTACACTTTATGGGCTTTGACAAATGAATGACATGTATCTACCATTATAATATCCTACAGAATCGTTTCACTGTCCTAAAAATCCTCTACAATCCACCTATTTGTCCTTCCCTGCCTTGTCCCAAACCCGTGGCAACCACTGATCTTTTTACTGTTTCCATATACTTGTGCTGTTATCAGAATGCATTATAGATGGAAACCAAAATGTAAAGCCTTTTCAGATTGGCTTTTTTCATTCAGCAATATGCAAGTAAGGTTCCTCCATGTCTTCTGATACTTGAGAGCTCACTTCTTTTTACCACCCACTCAATCATTGTACCTTGTAACCTTGTTATAATTGCTTATCAGTGTCAAGGTATTCTATTGTTGACTCCTCCAATTTTTCTACCTAGAGAATCATGTTATGTGTGAATATAGACAGTTTTATCTCCTCCTTCTAAATCCAAGGTTATTTCCTTCACTTGTCATACTGTGTTAGCGATGACTTCCAGAAGGAGGCTAAAAAAGAGTGGTCAAAGGGGCCTCCTTCCTCCTTAACTGGGAAAGCATCTAGTTTCTCACCATTAAGTATGATGTTAGTGATAGGGCTGTTGTAGATGTGCTTTAACAAGTTGAAGAAGTTCCCCGTATTCCTAGTATGCTGAGACTTCTTATTGTGAATATGGGTTAAGATTTTGTGAAATGCTTTTCTGCACCTATTGGTATGATCATATGACTATTTTCCTTTTGCCTGTTGATGTGATGGGTTATGTGAACTGATTATCAAATGTTGAACCAGGACTGCATACCTGGAATAAACCCCACTTGGTCATGGTGTGAAGTTATATACTGTTGGATTCAGTTTGCTTATGACTTGAGGATTTCTGCATCTATGTTCCAAGACAGAGTTCTGTCTGCAGTTTCCCTTTCTTGTAATGTCTGCCTGGTTTTGCTACTACAGCAATGCTGGCCTCACAGAATGAGTTAGGAAGTATTTCTTCTGCTCTTACTTTTTGGAAGAGATTGTAGAGAACTGGTATTTCTTCCTGAAGTGTTTGGTAGAATTCACCAGTGAACACATTTGGGCCTGACACTCTCTGATTTGGAAGATTAAGTATTAACTCAATTTCTTTAACAGCTATATGCCTAGTCAGATCTTTCTGTGAGTTTTGGCAGATTGTGTCTTTCAAGGAATTGGTCCATTTCATCTAGGTTATGAAATTTGTGGACACAGAGTCATGCACAGTATTATTATCCTTTTAATGTCCATGAAATCAGTTATGACTTTCTTTCATTTCTGGTATTAGCACCTTGTATCTTCTCTTTTTCTTAGTTAATTTAGCTAAAGGTTTATCAGTTTGACCTTTCCAAATAGCTAACTTTTGGTTTTACTGATTTCCTCTATTTTGTTTCTGATTTCACTGATTTCTGCTCTAATTATTATTTCTTTTGTTTCACTTACTCCGGATTTAATCAGTTCCTTATCCTAGTTTCCTAAGATGGAAGCTTAGACTCTTTGTGCAAGTTAAGATCATTTGTTTGTGTAACCTGGTTTATGTAATCTGACTGATGGTGTAATCTAGTATACCACCATTTTATACCCTGTCTCTCAATAAAAGCCCCACTCTAGCTTCACTCTGGCTCTGCTCCAGTCTCAACCCACCTTCTCCTCACAGAGTCAAAAATCTCCAAGGGCACAGATCTGTCTCTGGGTATACTGGCCTCTGCCTTAGAGGGCAGTTACTTACAGAGGGTTTGTACAAAATGTAGGCTGAGGACTAGAGGACTCACACATGTACACTCAAGGCATCTCCTGGCTTGACATGAACCATGGGTGAATGGGGAAAATGAGACTAGGGACTAGATATCCCTCTGTACTGAACACATTCTATTTGCTACTTTGTTATTTTGATTTATACATTCTAAATGGTTATGTATTACCTCTCTGGGCCTCCTTTTACAATGTAAGGCTGCTCAGCCCTTACACATATGAGAGATGTGCCTGATACGGTAACAACTGCTAAATTAGGAGTGTCTGTTCTCTGTTCACAACTATATTAAGTTGCATTATGCCCATGAAGCACATATGGTTTATATAAGGAATGATATGTGGTTACCTAAGTCCTGTAAACTTAAGGGACACCTCACATAAGCATTTAAGGCTGTGACCCTAATTATTCAATTTATCTCTGCTTTTAAAAAGCTTCATATTCACGATTGCCAGGATGAGGGCTGCAGAAACGGTATGATTAACACAAGGGAACTTCTCGTGATGAAATCCTGATTCCTTTGTAATCCTAATGCAACAGAGACTCCAGATACCTTTTTGATTTTGTAACCTGTGTTGATGGTTACTCAAACTATTAAGTGATAAAATTTCACAGAACTACACTGTACACAAAGTGCTTGTAAAAACTGTTGAAGTAGAAGTAGAAATAAGGACTGTATGTGACTTAGTACTGTAGTACCATCAACTTCCTGTGCTTGACAGTATACCGTGGTTGTGGAAGATAGCATTAAAGAAGGTTGGTGGAGGGCAAGTGAGAATTCTATGTATGACTGCAACCTATTATAAGTCTATTTTTTCATTTTACTATTTTTTTTTTTTTTTGTTTTTAAAGCTTCCCATGGCACAATATACATTTATAAATTATAATTTTTTATGTTTCCTAAAGATAAATATGGCATGAAAACCGAAAACACGACTTCTAATATATTACTTCTAAAAATAATCTTCAAGTTATATACCTCAAATTGAAAGGTTTCTCTTTAATATAAATTCTGACATAACCTAGCTTGTATTTTTGCTAAAAAAAAAAAAATTGTTTTTACAAAATAAAAAATCTGCAATATTTTATACCAGTATTTGCTTGGTGACATTCAATGGAATGTTACTTAACAAGACTGTCCTGCATTTGTTGCAGTCTACTCTGGAGTAAAATAAGGCCAGTTTGTGTGGAGGAAGATTCCCGAACATTCAGGATATCCTGTCAACAGAGCTTCCGCCAGTGTGAATTCTTGTGTAATGGGTGCTGAACTGCAGCTCGACATTCCTAACATCCACTTCAATCGTTACGTTTTTCTCCTGCGTGTGTTCTCTGATGTACAATGAGGTTTGACTTCTGAGAGAAGGTTTTTCCACATGTGTTACATTCATAGGGCTTCTCCCCCGTGTGTGATCTCTGATGTTTAGCAAGGTCTGATTTACGGTAAAAAATTTTCCCACATTCATTACATTGACAAGATTTCTCTCCTGTGTGAGCCCTGTGATGCACTGTGAGGGATGATTTGTGACTGAAGGATTTTCCACATTCATTACATTCATAGGGTTTCTCCCCTGTGTGTTTTCTCTGATGTAAAATAAGTCCTGACTTCACACAGAAAGATTTTCCACATTCACTACATTTATAGGGCTTTTCTTCTGTATGAGTTCTCTGGTGGACAATTAAGGCTGACTTATGACAGAAAGCCTTTCCACATTCATTACACTCATAGGGTTTCTCACCTATGTGAATTCTCTGGTGCTGAGTGAGCTGAGACTTCTGGCAGAAGGTTTTCCCACATTCGTTACATTCATAGGGTTTCTCCCCTGTGTGTGTTCTATTATGTTTAGTTAGGTATGATTTATTATAGAAGATTTTCCCACATTCGTGACATTCAAAGGGCTTCTCCCCTGTATGTGTCCTATAATGTTGAGAGAGGGTAGACTTATGGCTGAAGAATTTCCCACATTCAGGACATGCAAAGGGCTTCTCCCCTGTGTGAGTTCTCTGATGTACTGTGAGGTCAGACTTCAAGCAAAAGGTTTTCCCACATTCATAGCATTCATAAGGTTTCAACCCTGTATGAATGATCTGATGCCTAGTGAGTACTGACTTGTGGTAGAAAGTTTTCCCACAGGCATTACATTCGTAGGGTTTATCTCCTATGTGAGTTCTCTGATGTTGTGTAAGATGTGACTTCTGACAGAAAGATTTCCCACAGTCAGGACATTCAAAGGGTTTCTCACCTGTATGAGTTCTCTGATGCACTGTAAGGTGTGAATTCATACAGAAGGATTTCCCACATTCATAGCATTCATAGGGTTTCAGCCCTGTGTGTGTTCTCTGGTGTTTAGTGAGGTCTGACTTCTGGTAAAAAGTTTTCCCACATGCATTACACTGATAAGGTTTCTCCCCCGTATGTGTTCTCTGGTGTAACGTGAGGGCTGACTTGTGGCTGAAGGCTTTCCCACATTCACTGCACACATAGGGTTTCTCCCCTGTGTGTGACCTCTGATGTTTAGTGAGGTTTGACTTCTCCCAGAAAGTTTTTCCACATTCATTACACTGAAAGCGTTTCTCTCCTGTGTGTATCCTCTGATGTCGAGTGAGGTGGGACTTCTCCCAAAACGCTCTCCCACATTCATTACATTCAAAGTGTTTTTCTCCTTTATGAGTTTTCTGAAGTTGTGAAAGGCATAAATTCCTCCTGAAATTATTCCCACTTTCATTACAGTCATAGTGTTTCATATGTGCCCCATGATGTTTCAAAAGGGTAGACTTCACACATAAGGATTTTCCACAACCACTAAATCCATAGTGATTTTCCTTTGAGGAATTTATCTGGTGGAATAAGAAGGAGGAATTATCAAAGAAGGTTCTCCCATATTCATTACATTCACAGTCATTCCCTTCTGCAATCTCTTTCCTGTATGTACTGAATATTGCCTTTTCAAGGAAGGTTTCTTGATAAATGTTATGATCAAAATTTTGCTCTAAAGTTTGAATCTTCTCATGATGAATAGGGTCCTCATCATGACTGAAAGTTTTCCCATTTTTAAAAAATTCACTTTTCTCTCTAGTATGAGTTTTCTCGTGTTTAATACTGAGTAGCAATTTTCCACAGGCATTAAATTCATCAGTCTTTTTTCCTAAATAGTTTTTCTTATTGATAAACAATTCTGAAATACAGTTGAAACTCACTCCACATGAGTCACACTGACAGAGGGTTTTTCTGGAAGGAAAAGAGTTTGTGTCCAAGTTATGTGGTTTTCCTACTACGTTGCCTTGTTCTTTAGTTAGCATTTTATTATTGATGAATGCAACTTGCCACACATGTTTAGGCTGGTTTTCGTGGCTCCTTTCTTTCTTGTGATCAGTTTTCCAGATTTCTAAAAATAAGAAAAATTAACCTTACATATGAATAGTAACATATTTTTTATGGAATGCAATGTATATACAAATGCCCTATGTTAGAGCTGATTTGGATTTCTTGTCTAGTCTCCAGAGAAGAAAATAACTGTAGGTACATATTCTTTCTATTCTTGAGTTTGAGATGAAAAAAGAAAAATGAAAACAAGAAACAAAAAGCCTGGCATAATGGGAAAAGGGAGCGGAAACTGGCTATTACAACACATACATCTGCACTCTGGTGTCAGAAGAATAACAGCACCCGTTAAAAGCTGAATGTGTCCATCTGTCCTCCAAAAAACTGTATGGATCAATATAAGGAGAGCAAATAAAATTACCTACAACAACCCATGACTTCAGCATAACCAGGACATACAAAATACTACTAACTTCAAATCGCCACTAAGGAAAGAAACATTTAAATACAGAAAAAACTGATAATGAGCCCACATCCGTTGAGAGTCAGCTAGAGACTGTGGCAACCACACATAAAGAAGAGACAGGGAACTCAGAGATGATTAAATACAAATAAAATCATTCCCAGAAAGGGGAAGTCCCACTATGAGTGGGAAAAAACTGAGATGACATTTCAGTTCTGATACATGACAGCTCAGACCACTGGGAACTCCAACAGAAGGGACTTGTAGTAAATGGGAACTGAGGACGCAAGCGCTGATCCAGGTCAGAAATAAAACTGTAAGAAGGACAAAGTGATCGGGGGCGCCTGGGTGGCTCAGTTGGTTAAGCGGCTGCCTTCGGCTCAGGCCATGATCCTGGAGTCCCGGGATCGAGTCCCGCATCGGGCTCCCTGCTCGGCGGGGAGTCTGCTTCTCCCTCTGATCCTCCCCCTCTCATGCTCTCCTCTCTTATTCTCTCTCACTGAAATAAATAAATAAAATCTTTAAAAAAAAAAAAAA